GCATTACTAAAAATTAAGCTACACAGCTTAAAATTAAATAAAGGTATTAAAAAGAGGTGGCAAATACTCCAAACTTATCCCTTCCTAGTTATTTTATGACTTTTATTATTTTCTGTGCCCCTGAGGTTGTTTCTGTCTGTCGGATAGAAGGACAGTCCTGTGAAGGAGTCGGATGACAAGAGAACATGGACGAAGGGGGTAGCTGTGCGCGGCTGTTCACTGCCAGCGCTGCTGTGGCTGTCGCTGCCTTTTCTCCTGGTGGACATACAGCCACGCGGTGCGCCCCACAGGTGACACTCTGGCTGTTAGCCATTGGCACCCCTCTAAGAGTTCACCCCAAAAGATCTTGCACACGACCCAAGAAAGCCTCATCACAAGAGGCTCAGAATTCCCAGAGGTGGGTTTCTGTTCTGTAGTTTGGGCCTTATCTTCTCTTCCCCTTCCAAAGGCAGCGATCGTGTCGCGTGGCCCCAGGAATCCACGGGGATTCTTGCTCTGTAGATGGCAAGTATTTACCCAGCAACTTGTTCTCCTTCCTACAAAGACGGAGACGGAGCTCCAGCAGAATCCACCCAAGCTGCACTCATTCCTTTTGCCAGTCTAGCCTGTCTAACAGATCACGGATCTGTGATGGCATCGCTCAGCTATTTTTATTACTTAATGGTGTCTTTAAGCTTTCATCAGATTGTAAACGTTCTTAAGTTTCCGTGAATTATAACCGTAATTGTCACGCCATATGGCCTCTCTCTGTACACTTCTCTTTGAAACATCTTTTTAGTCTCTCCTATAGGACTTTTGCCCTTAGGATTCATTAGCCTTGATCCCTTTTATAGATATGGAAACATCTGAAGGCTAGGCCAAGGTATATTTATCAAACTCCTCTCCTTGTTTCTAGCCATTAACTCAACCCTTGAGTGGGCCTCACACTCAGTCTGAAGCAGGAAGCCCCGCCTAGCCCCGCAGCTCTGCCCTGGGCCACTTGGGGGAAGCAGGTGCTAAAAGGCTGAAGAAAATTTGTGGTCTTTGGTTTGCTCTTGTCCCAGGGATGGAGATGGTTCCTTTGCAGGAGGGCTTTTCCCTCGGCGGCTGTGGAAGTGGGTAGGCAACTCTAAGGATGAGTCCACTGATTTCTATCATCAATGTGTCTAAAAAGATAAAAGCAAAATTCTGGGATAGATACATAAAATAGTCAATAAAATAAAAACGTTGTAAGTTGGATGTAGGCCTGCGGTGCGGCAGCCCGTCGGTTGGCATGTTTAACGCCCACCCTGTCTCTGCTCCCTGCCCGCCCTTCCTGTTGCCTCTGAGCATCCGCCGTGGGGGGCACCCGGCCCACACTCGCTTTTACTTTTCAGGGAAGGAAAAATGGAAGCCACAGAAGAGAGGGGTTATTTTCTCAAGGTCAGAAAATGGGTCAATAGCAGAGTTGCGATTACACGCTTGATGTGTCTGAATCTAAAACCCAAGCTCTGTGACATGAATAATACAGAGTTTTACAAATAAGATTATTACTTCCACTGATTTCATCTGAATTTCCAAAATCCTCACACTGCATTTTTCTAGTGATGCCACACATAACGAGTAGGGAAAATGAATTCTTTCAGAGCTTGTTTCCCAGCTGATTCTTGGAATTCGGCCACAGGACCGGTTTCTTAGAGTGACTTAGGAACTGGAATCAGGGCCCCTGCCCTGCCCGGAACGGACAGCAGAGGGAGCAGTCGGCCGCCGGCCCCTCACCCTGCAGGCAAGTGCTACAGATGGGGTGTCTGTCACCCGTCCAGTTTCAAAAGCACTGTCTTCCCGTTCAGAACATTCAAGGAGACGGAGAGAAGAGGTGGTGGACGAGACCGACTGGACTCTCTGGAGCCTGGGGGCCCGTAGGAGTGAACAGGCAGCATGGGGGTGACAGTGTGTGCAGAGGACCAGGCTCCAGTCAGGATGCCCACTGAACGTCCACGTCTTACTCTTACCACCCCATGCTATTGTGGAAAAGGGCTTCATCTACCTGAGCCCCAAGCTTTCTCATCTGGAAGACAGCAATGATAACATCTGCCAAGCCAACTGCCTAAGATCATCGCAAGGACCCCAGAAGATGGTGGGAGACGAGGTGCTGGGAACAGTGAAGGCGGGTGGCGGCGTTGGCCACTGACCACAACATGCAGGGCATGCAGGGAGGCGACACAGGTGGCGGGGAGCACAGCCTGGGAGCTCACTGTGCGCTGGCAGTGTTCAGGAGAAGCACTTAGGGTGGGAACACAAGGGCAGTCACAGGGAGGTCTGTGCACCATCTGCTGGCAGTGACGTGCCATTTTTAATGAAAGAAATAGAATAAAACCGTTTCTGGAGGTGAATAAACGTGGTGCTGCCATTAACGGCACAGATCTGTTACTTAGTATTTCTCAGTCTTGTTTTCCTTTCTGTTAAATGAGAATAACAATACCGACTGTGATACATGGATTATGAGATAATCCAATTCCTTCCTCATTTTTCTCATCTTTTTTTTCGCTCTGGTAGTTTCATATTCACTCTCTGCTAGACCTGAGGGCACAGCTCCAGTCTCTCACGGGAAGCCTCAGGCATTACCACCTCATCCTACGGGGGACGGCAGCCCGCCACCAAGCCACAACCCCGGGGAGCCGGCTAAGTTAGAACTAGGCCGGCAGCCGCTTCACTTCCCTGCTTACATGAAATCCCAAGCACTGCACACGCCTCAAAACAAAAACTTCTTAACCAAGAAATGGCTTTAAAAGAAAGACAAATGATTAAATTCAAAGTCTGTACTCTCACACTGAGCATCATTCTTCACCCTGTCTCAAAGTCTTGATTTCCAGTTAAGCCACCTTACTATTTATCCACCCTCATCTCCCAACATGTCATACGGGGTGTTCAGATCTGAGGACTAGAAAATAAGGATGCACTATTTTTCATCAGCAGAAATCCCTCCTTTAAAAAGAATCCCAAATTACTAAGTACAATCACTCCAAGAATAACTGGGTCTACATCGCTGGAAAATAAATTAGCCAAAACTTGGAAATAAGGCAAAGACGGGGTGGGTAAGGCCCTCTCAATGTCATGGTGCAGGTCCACCTAACCAGACTAAAAGGGACCAATTTGTCTAGCAGACGCACCTTTGTTTCTGTGGCTCTGTATTATTCACCAGGGCCAAGACTTTCTGACGTTAGAAGACAACTTGTCCATTCTCCTCAGGCAGAGACAGTAATTTTCTGTACCATGGAAAAGGACGGCCACCGAGCTATTCTGTTGGCCAGTATGATATTAACCAGGTCTGCGTCTAACCTGGCATTCGACATTCTAAATTTTGTGCCAAGCTAGGAGCTTGCCCCTGGCTCAACACCAGCTTTACCACCTTGCTGATTCCCTTGTTAATGAGTTTAATATATCTTTGCTGTGTTCATTCTAGATTTGTATAAAAATACATTTTAAATTTTTTACAGAAGTATTCTTTGACATCCCTCTTGTATTCTTCACCACAGCATCAATGGGTGGTAAGATTTGTACATCACAGACCAGAAGCAGCTACAGTACACAATGGTCTCACTCTCAACTACTGCCAGAAAAAAAAAAAACTATGCTATATGGAAATGCAATTATTATTATCTTTGGGACAAACAACATCCATGAACTAACAGACATACAACAAATGAATACTTTCTGAAGGCGGCCTGTCCTGCCACCTGAGAGTTTTTGCAAATCTTTCGCTCTAATGTATACACTAGGAGGCGAGTTGCTCAAGATTTCTTCATCCGTTCAACATTTAATTATTGAGCGCAGGCTATTTGCAAGGGGCTGTTCTGACTGCCAGGGATGCAGTAATTAACAAAATAGACAACGTCCCTGTGCCAATCAATGGAACATACCTTCCAGTGGGAAGGCAGATGGTAAGTTAATACAAAGGATATGAGATGAGATAGTGGTAAGTATGATGGAGAAGATAAAGCAGAATACAAGAGATGGGGAATGTGGGGCTCAGAGAGGTAGGTATTTTATAAATGGTAGCCATGGAAGCCCTTGTTTAAATGGTAATATTCTACTGGAGGCCTGAGGAAGTGAAAAAGAATTTTCAAATGTCTCCTCTTTCACTTCTAATTTTATCTGAGTCTTCTCTTTTTCTTAGTCTTGCTAAAGATCTGTCAACTTTATCTTTTCAAAAACCCAATTCTTAGTTCTATTTTTCCTGTTGTTTTCCTGGTCTCTATTTCATTTATTTCCACTCTGTTATTTGTTATTTCCTTCCCCCCACTAACTTTGGGCTTGATGTTTTTTTTCTTTTCCTAGTCCCTTGAGGTGTAAAGTTAGGTTGTTCATTTGAGGTCTCTTTATTTTCTTAACACAGACATTTATCACTATAGATTTCCCTCTCAAAACTGCTTTTGCAACACCCCATAGATTTTGGTTATGTTGTGTTTGTTTTAAATTTTTTCGAGTAAATTTTACTTTTCTTTTAAACCCACTGGTTGTTCAGAGATGTGGTACTTAATTTCCACATCTTTGTAGATTCTCTAGTTTTCCTTTGTCATTGATTTCTAGTTTCACATCACTGTGATGAAAAATATACTTGGTATGATTTGCCAAGACTTGTTTTGTGTCCAGTCGTATGGTCTACCTGGAGAATATTTTGTGTGCACTTGAGAACATGTATTCTGCTTCTGTTGGATAAAATATTCTACAAATGTCTATTAAGACCATTTAACCTAATATATCGTTTAAGTCCATGGTAACCTTACTGATGTTGTCTGGATGATACATCCATTGCTCAAAGTGGGGCACTGGAGTCCCCTACCATTACTATATTGTTGCCTACTTCATTTCAGATCTATCAGTGCTGGTTTAACATAGTTCCAGACCACTGCAACAAAGCAAATACCACAATAAAGCAAGTCTAATGGTTTTTTTGGTTTCCTGGTGTATATGAAGGTTATGTTTACACTATCCTGCAGTCTAAGTGTGCATTAGCACTATGTCTAATAAAGTGCACATACCTTAATAAGAAATACTTGAGGCTGATTCCCTCTTGAGCAGCACATCTTGGTCCATCAAGCACACTGAATTCCCCTAATAAAGTGCACTGCTTCTTGTACACTAAAAAAAAGAAAAAAAAATTGCTAAAGAGTGCTAGCTCTCATCTGAGCTTTCAGTGATTAGAATCACTAATCAGAGGTCACCAAAACAAATCAATAAAAATGACAAAGTTTGCAATATTGTGAGAACTACCAAAATATGACACACAGAGACAAAAATGAGCAAATGCTATTGGGAAAAGGCATTGATAGACTTGCTCAATGCACAGCTGACACAAAGCTTCAATTTGTAAAAAACACAGTATCTGAGAAGTGCTGTAAAGTGAAGCACAATAAAATGATGTGTGCCTGTACATTTAGGTGCTCCAATATTGGGTACATTGATATTTACAATCATCATTATCTCCTTGATGCACTGACCTCTTTATCATTATAGAACAACATTCCTTGTCCTTGTTCCTGTTTTTGGCTTAAAGTCTATTTTGTCTGATATAAGTAGGGTTATCCCCACTTGTTTTTGGTTTTCACCAAAAAAAAGCATGGAATATCATTCTCCTATTCTTTCACTATAAGCCGATGTGTGTTTTTAAAGCTGAACTGAGTCTCTTATAGGCAGCATACAATTGGGTCTTGTTTTTTTAATCCACCCAGCCACTCTGTGCCTTATTAATTTAATCCATGTACACTTAGAGTTATTATTGATAAATGAGGGCTTACTGACATCATCTAAATTGTCTTCTGGTTGTTTTGTATTTCCATTGTTTCTTTTCCCCTTTGTTTCCATCTAACTTTGTGAGTTGGTGATTTTCCATGGTGTTCTGCTCAGTTTCTTCTACCTTTATCTTTAGTGCAGCTGCTCTAAGTTTTTGCCTTGTGGTTAACATGAGGTTTACATAACACATCTCATAGATAAAACAGTTCCTTTTAAGCTTATAGAAACTTAATTTCAATAGTTTGCAGAAGTTTCATGCTTTTACTCCTTTTTTATATTTATGTCCTTATTACCTGTTTTATATTTCTATTTCTATTTGTTAACAAATTATAGTAGCTATAACTATTTATAATACTCTTATTCTTTGACCTTTATACTATAGTTAAGTTGTTAACACACTATCCTATTTCAAATTTAGGATTTTCTAGATCTGACTGCATATTTACCTTTACCAGTGTGTCATATACTTTTGTAAATTTTCATGTCACTAATTAGCTTCTTTTCATTTCAGCTTAAAAAACCTCTTTCAGCATTTCTTGTGAGGCTCATGTAGTGGTGACTGATGACCTCCTTCAGCTTTTGTTAACTAGGAAATCTTTATTTCTCCTTCATAGCCGAAGGATAACTTCCAGATAAAGAATTATTAGCTGGCAATTATTTTCTTTTAACACTTTGAATATATCATTCCACTCTTTCCTGGCCTGTAGGATTTCTAGTGAGAATCCACTGATAGCCTATGGGGGTTACTTTACAGGTTACAATCTTTTTATCCCTTAGCTGCTTTTTAGAATTCTTTCCGTATGCTTGATTTTTGATAGTTTTTTTATGATGTCTCTTGGAGAGGTCTTTCTGCATTGAGAAAATATGGTAGTCTATTAGTTTCATATATTTAGATGTTTGATTCTCTCCCCACATTTGAGAAGTTCTCAGCTGTTATCTTTAAATAAACTGTTTCTTTCTCCCTCTCTTTACTCCTGGAATCCCAATTGTTCTAAACATTGGTCCTTTCTGTGGATTCCAAAGAGCACATAGGGTTTTTTTTCTTTTTTGTAGTTTTGTAATCTTTTTTCTCTTTTAGCCTCTAACTGGGTTATTTCAAAATTCCTATCATCTAACTCACTTATTCTATCTTCTATTTGCTCTGCTTTCCTGCAGTGGTTCCTATTGTATTTTTTCATCTTACTCACTGAATTCAGAATCTTGTTATTTTTTATTATTTCTCTTTGGAAAAAAATTTCATTTTGACATGTATTGTTTTTTTCAAGAATTTATTGAATTATCTTTCTGAGTTTTCTTAAAGCTCCTTGAGTTTCTCCAAAGCACCTATTTTGATTAGTCAGCTAGATCACAAAATTCTGCACCTTTGAGCTCAGTTATTGGCATTATTATTTTCTTTCTGTGATATGCTTTTTTTTATTTTTCATGTTCCTTGTAATTTTGCATTGTTACTTTGCATATGAAGTAGCAGACACCTCCTTAAATCTCTGCCAGTTGCTTTCACATGGGATATTCTGTTTGATGACGCTGTTATCTGGGGTTTAATTGGTCTTTGCATTAGTACACCTGCTCCACAATTCTTGCTCCCTTTTGTGGCAGGATTTTTAAGCTTTTATGTCTTCTCTGGTTCTTAACAATCAGCAGGCTGGCTACTGGAAACCTTAGTTTTCCAGAAGAATGCACAGTACTTCAAGTTTGTGGTTTCTCAGACCTTGTCTACAGACAAGACAAACAGGGGCCTGTTTCTGAATGCTCCGTGTCTACAGGAGCTCTCTCACTGCCTCTCAGGGGCCACCTGCAGAGTGGGGGAGGTGAGGGGTTAGCACTTAGGGCAAAGAGGGGTGCCTGCGGGTCCTACAGAGATCCCTGGGTGTGGTACTCCCAGAGGCTCATGGATGGACCGCCTGCTGAGTGCACTCAACAGGAATGGAATCCTTTATCTGTCTCTCTCCAAATTTAGAATTTTCTAAGTTTTTGCCTGTGGTTAACATGAGGTTACATAAGACATCTCATAGCTAAAACAGTCCACCCCCAACCATCATACAGATCCCAGCTCAGTATTCCTGGTGCTGCTGGAGAGAAATGTATTTCTCCAGTCACCTTCTGCACAGCTGGGGTAGCCAAGCGCTGCCACCCCCCTGCAGTAGAGGCCCCCTGCAGTGGTTCCCTGGGGCAAGGAAGTAAATGGCTTATCTCTACCACCACTGTAATCAAATTTGTATTTCTTTTTCTAGAATGGTGTCCTGGAATCTTTCCTGCTATAGCAGACAGTAAACACAGCCTAACTCCCAGCCCAATAAACATAAACCCTCGTGCTAAAGGCCCATTTCCCTCAGTGCCTTTTACCCAATAGCTTACATCTGGCTTGTAACAAAAACCACAAGGTATGCTAAAAGGCAAAAAATGGTTTGATGAGACAAAGTAAGTGTGAGAACCACACTCAGACATGGCAGAGATTTTGGAATTATGAAACAGGGAATTTAAAATAACTATGATTAGTGTGCTAAGGGCGCTAATGGAAAAAGTTTAACAGATGCGTAATGCCAGCAGAGAGATGGGAACTCTAAGAAAGAATCAAAAAGAACTTCTAGAAATAAAAAAAAAAACTGCAAAAGAAATGAAGAATGCTTTTGATGGACTCATCTGTAGACTGGACTGGACACAGCCGAGGAAAGAATCAGCGAGCTGGAAGATGTGTCAATAGAATCCGAACTGCAAAGAAAAAAGAAACTGTGAGAAAATTACAAAAAGGAGTAAAATACACATAATGGAAATACTAGAAGAAGAGAGAGATAAAGGAACAGAAGAAATATTTGAAGTAATAATAGCTGAGAACTTCCCCATATTAATGATGGGAATCAAAGCACAGATCCAGGAAGCTCAGAGAATGCCAAGCAGGAAAATACCAAAAAATCTACACCTAGGAATGTCATATTGAAACTGCAGATCACAAATACAGTGGAAATCTTGAAAGAAGCCAGAGGAATTAATTACCTTTCCTGTAGAGAAACAAGGATAAGAATCACACTGGACTTCTCCAGAAGTTTTAAGAACAGAGTGGGGTGAAATATTTGAAGGGTTGAAAGAAAAAAATCCCTGTGACAGAGAAAAAATTCAGGCTCCCTTTTCCAGTGGGCGGAGCTGTCACAGGAAAGTGACTGCCCAGACACACTCTATGCTTCACAGCCCCTTCTCACATAAATGTCACTCTGTAACCGATCCGAACCAATGGGATGCAAGCAAAAGAGAGGTGTGCCACCTTAGTGTCAAGGAAAGGGTGTGCCTCCTCCATTCTATCTTTGCCCTCCACTCTGGTAGATGAAGAAACCCATCCTGAGGGTGTGGCAGAGCCACAGATGGAAGGAGCCTGGGTCCCTAAAGCACAGCATGGAGGAAAGCCACCAGTGGCCCAGGAACACTCACAAAGGACCGGTACAAAAATGAGAAATAAATCTCTATTGTTGAGCCTTTGTGTATATGGGGGTCTGTTTGTTATAGCAACTACCACCACACTATTACTATACTTTCTCCTCTTTTTCTAAAGAAACCTGGTAAGTGTTCCTTAATGTACTGAGGTGCTCTAACTACATGCCTCCTCTCTAGGAACCTTCTAAGCCATTCCAAGAACTGTCTGGAGCAGGGTTTCCCACAACATTTTATCAAGATTTCCCAGGAATATTTTGAGGCTTTACTGGGAAATAGCTAACGCTAAGGTCTATCATGGCCTTCCTCTGAAGTGCCAGAATCCCAGAAAGGAGAAAGATACAGTCACCCCCATTTGGGTCTCTTCTCCTCCCCTCCCAGCCCAGCATTTCCCTGTCCACGTATCCGAGGAGTTCCACCATGAAATGACAATTCCTCACCTGCATCACAGCATCCCCATGAAGGTTGACGTTGGGAACCATGTATCCACAGGTCACTGCTGCTGTTTCAATCAGCCATCACAGCAAAAGTGCTACATAAGCAGCCACCCAGGACTCAATGGCTCAAAACAAAATAATGATCTCTTGTCATGTTCACAAGATGGCTGTGTGGCACAGGTCTCATTCTGGACCTGGGATGGAGGACCAGGGACTACCTAGGCATGTTTCTTCTTTGTGGCAGAGAACAAAAGCTCACCGAGGTGCGTGTGCTAACATGTGAGACCTTTTATAACCCATGCTCAGGACTCACATGTAGTCACTTGCACCCACGTTCTAGTGGGCAGAGCATGTCAGGTGGCCAAGCCAAGTTAGAGGGCTCTGGAGAGCATCCTGCACGCGTGACCTCAGCAGGGTGCCACGTAGCAGCGGGGCGTGCTGCCACAGGCACACAGCGCAGCGCGACGAGGGATTCAACCTGCTCTAGTCCCTGAGGACCAGGAACAGAGCAATGGTGGCCGGCAGCCATGCTGGCCCGAGGGCCACAGAGCTGCTACGGACAGTCAGAAACACGCATTCACCAGGAGCCATTGCAGCTCAATATGGGTATCGTGTGGGACCTGGGCTCTCCAGAAGCCCCATGGCTTAGGCACTGCGCTCATAGGAAAGATGGAGTCAGACCAACAGCATCATCACAAAACTACTGTGCTGGTTCCAGCGGTGTCTGCTCATATTATTTACCAACTACCAACAGAAATCCTTCCTACAAAATTACCAAAGCCACAACTGTCAAAAAAACAAGCCTCAGCCACCCGGCATTGGGCTGAGATGACCCGTCAAGGAAATGCAACCGCAGAACGATAGAGCTGAGGAGCAGCTCGGCCAGCATCTGGTTCAGCTCTGCCTTGTGCAGAGAACACCCGGGCGGGCGCAGGTGGCGCAACCTGCAGAACATGGACGCCTGCAGGGTCCTGCACCTACCCTCGCACTTGGGTCCTGCAAGTACACCTCGGCAGCAGTTACGGCCCTGTGCAAAAGCGGGTCCCAGGACAGTAACTGATGGTGGGCTTAGAGCTCACAGTCAAGAATTCAGGTGGGTCACCGCTGGCAGGCCTCTTCCCGGGGAAAACCTAGTCGAAGCCACATGGGGACCTCAGGTCTCAGGGACCAAAACCCTGCCATAATCGTTCTCTTCGGTCATCTCATGACCTGTATGAATGCTTTGTTGTAAGGGGAGGCGCCGGCACTGCCCGGTACCCCTCTCCTGCCGACACCCTCCTCACCGCTCCATTCCAACCAGTCATTGCCAGAAAAACTGAGATGGAAAAGTCAGTCAATCTGAGCTGAGTTAATGCCTGCTGTTCACATGCTAACGTTCCACACAAAAAAGAACTGCTCGTTAAAACAAACAAAAAAGTCTGATTTCCCCCTTTCTCCCAATGTTTGACTAATGCTCTCCATCCATCGACTGGACGTCTTCGGTCTCGGGTGGGTGGTCCACGGTATTTACACTTCAAAGATGTGAGTCATACTATATTTCATGTATTAAGACCTCCACAGCTTCGCTGTAGCCTCTCCCACGGCAGAGAAGTAGAATTCACATACACATCAATAGAAATGGCCACCAAGACTTGGGGAAAGAAGTATTTCCCTCAAATCTCAGGGACAGTCTGAAAGGTTAAGTAAAACTCTCTGCTCGCCCCAATTTTGGTCAGGCTCTCCTGAGCTCTCTTGTCCACTGGGCGGCTGTCTTGAACACGTCCCTGCCCCTCCAGGCATCTGCCTACCCAGCCCAGTTGTAGCAAGAATCCTGAGACATCAGTTTGGGTGGGAGAATATCCCACCCTTGCTATCTGATCCCCGGGCCCATCGCCTGCAAGAATCCCCCGCCCCTGGTCCTCTAGGAAATTTGATCCACTGGCCTCCCCAGTCTGTGGGCCGTACTACCCCAGCTGTCTCTGCTGTTCTCAGGGGCGAGCAGACATCTCTCCTGTAGCCATAGTCTTGACACCTATCTCATCAATACTAAAGAGTCTTCCTTTCCATTTTAACAAGTGTCGGAATAATTTGCTCTTTAGCGCGGGATCCCAACAGAAACCGAAACCCAGAATCTTTTTCCGGAATGAGAAGGGCTTCGGGGCTTCTCCACTCACTTCTGTTTGTACTGTCTGTCCGCAGAGCGTTTTGGAGAAGAGCCTTCCGTACGGTTACTGCGTCCCCGCGACTACGTGCTTGGGCTTTAACAGGCGACAAGGGGGGCACCCAGTTCCTTCTCCGTGCGTGTTAAGCACGATGCGCTGGACACATACCTGCCGGACCCCGCGCGCGCCCCCCTGGGCCCGGGCGCCCCTCCGGAGGCCGGGCGGGAGGGCCCGGCGCGCCCACGCAGGCCGCTGCGAGCCACGGGGCGGAGCAGAGCGCGCGCGGCCGCGGCCCCGGCTGGCGGGGACCCGGGACCGCAGACTATGCACGCCGAGGCCGCACGGGGCAGGGCGGCGGAGGGCCGCGAGGAGGGCCTCACCGGGAGACGCGCGGGGCCTGCGGCCGCCGCCGAGCCCGCCGACGTCAGCCGCGCTCCTCCCCTCGCTCCCAACACCCTCCGCTCCGGCCGGACCCGCCTCCTGCCACCACGTGTCTCTCCGCGCCTCCCGCGGGGCCGCGCGCGCGGCGGCGGAGAGACGGGCAGGATGGCGCCGTGACAGTCGGGCCGGAGCCCTCGGCGTCTGCAGGCGGCCCGGCCCGCGGCTCGGCCCTCGGCCCGGCGGTGAGCGCGCGGCGGCGCGGGGCCGGGGCGGCGGGCCGGGCGGGCGGGCGGCGGGGTCGCGGCTGCCGCCTTTGTTGCGGGCCGGCCGGGGGCGGCGGGCGGCCGGGCGCTCGGCAGGTGCGCGTCGGCCGGGCCCGGGCGGGGCCGCGGGGAAAGGGGAGCGGGGCAAGATGGCTGAGCTGGCGGGCGGCCTGTGCGGGCGCCCCCGCGGGCTCCTTAGCGCCGGCAGCGCCCTTGCGCGCACCCCCGCCCAGGAGCCGGCGGGGCCGCGGCCAAGTTGGGGCCCCGGGCCCACGGTTCCGAAACCCGCGCCGCCCGCCCGGACCCAGGCCCGCCGCCACCGCGCGACCTCTTTGGGCATGTGGGAGAAGCCGACTTTGCACCCCGGAGGGCTCTCTCTGGAAGCCCGGGAGGATGCGGCCCGCAAGATGCACGCGCACCGCACACCTGGGGGTTGCCGCGGCCCTGGAGGGCAGCCCGGCCTTTGTGCTGGCCGCGCGCGGCAGCGGCCCCTGAGAGCTGGCGGCCCGCAGGCGTTTCCCAGGCGGAACGGGCCCAGGGCCTGGCCGCAGATGTCTGCACCCTCTTGGGGATCCAGGCACCGCGCCTCACTGTGTGTCACCAACTCCGGGGTTTGGGAAGTCCCTTAAAGCAGAATGACTCTATTTTGTGAACCAGCTCACGGACAGAGCCTTTGAACTAGGAGAACCCAGGTGATGGGCGTTCTAGGCCGACCAGCCTCCCCGATGTGTCCCGCCAGTGTTCAGACACCTTCACTGATAGGAAGCCAGCACCCCTGTCTTGCCTTAACCTTGGGTGGCCCTGGCTGTGGGAAAGTTCTGCCCTTCAACGCAGTCCTAAAAACCTCTTTCCTGGAATGTTTACCCACCAGCCCGTCCGGTCCTGGGTCTCTACAGAACCAGTCCGGTCTCTTCCGCAGAGAGCTTCTTAAGTATTTGAAGGCAGCCAGGTACGCTATCTGCCTGCAGCCCCTCTTATCATAAATAAATAGGTCACCTTCCAGCTTCCTCATGCTTTCCTTGATGCCCTTCCTCCCGGTCCAGCCCCGAGGGCCCGAGGCTAGAGGACGGGGTAGGCCGAGCTGCCCCCATCTCAGGCTCTGCTGAGGTCCCGCTGGCATCTGATTTTTCTGAACGGAATCTTGCAGAGATGGAGTCTGCCGCCTACCCTCTCAGTCTGACCCTGAAAGAAGAGGAGGAGGAGGAGGAGATTCAGAGCCGGGAGCCGGAGGATGGCCCCACGGACATGCAGAAAGTGCGGATCTGCTCAGAGGGCGGATGGGTAAGTCAGCAGGTGTGGGTCCACACAGCTGTAAGGAGCAGGCCCGGGAGCCAGGCGCTGTTAAGTGTCCTCCTCAGGCAGACAGAGGAAGTAAAAATAGAGCAGCCCAGCCCGGTGTGTTTGCATTCCTGAGAAAACAGCCCTGTGGCTTTAAAAGGCACTGCGCGGAATGGAGGAACTTGTTCAGGAACAGCCCCTTTAGCCCTGCAGCTTACCGTCATTAAGGTTGCTGGTCCAGGAGGCCGGGACCTCGTCTCTCTTGTGCCCCTGGGTCCCCTGCACGTGCTCGATGCTAGGCACGTTGTAGACATCAGCTAATGTTTGCCAGCCTGTGTTAACGAAAAAGTTATTCTGACACTTGTTCAGATGGTAAGGAGGGTACTTGGCACTGTGGGAATAGGCATCAAGAGGTTGCAGGAGGGGAGAGAGAGCAGTCTCAACATTGAATACTCAAGACAGTGGCGATTTATGGCCAAAGAGTAGGGTCGAAGGGCCATGGGTGGAAAATTATACCAAGAGGAGACATCGGGGATGGGGGATTCTTGCTGAACTGACGGCACAGGATTCTTGAGGAAGGCAGGCCAGGGTGATCAGATATCGAGGGTGGGGGATTCTTTCTAAACTGACTGAGCAGGATTCTTGCCAAGTCTGGGCTGGGCAGGCTGAGGACAGGAGGGGAGCCCAGGTGGAGGCCCAGTGGGGACCAGGGCCCAGTGGAGCCTGACTGAAGCCTTGGCGAGGAGTCGGGGGGGGTGGGCCTTGTCACGTATGGCGGCTTGAAGGGAACCATTTTAAGCTGCTGACGACAGGAGAGCTTCACGAGGCGAGGCCGACGGGGTCTCTGTGGCCACTGAGAGCAGTGCACACGGAGAGCTGCCTTCCCGGCTGGCTGGGCGGGGGGACCAGGAAGGTAGGCGGCAGGGAATAGGGGGCGCACCCAACAGAGCTGCGTGACAGCGCGAGAGCGAACTTACGAAAATGCAAGTACAACAGACATTGATAGTTACAAGTACGTGTGATCATTAGAGGAAACTTATAAAATGTAAATGCCCCAGATATTTATAGTTAGGAGTACATGTTATCATTCACAGTACTTACCGGACTTCATGATAATTAGGCATGAATGGTAAACATTTTAAATAAGTAGCAAATTGACATTCCTCTTCCCTGCTTAGTTTTCCATTGTGTAGGAAATTATCCGTCAACAAAATATCCTTTGTGTTTCATGAGAGATCTGTATTCACAGAGTCCTGGTGCTTCCAAATTATTCAGTCCAGCTCCCCTCCCACAGGAGGGCAACTGCGGTGCAGAGACGCTATCTGCTTTGCCCCAAGGACTCACATGTATACTGACATTTGTTCTTAAAAATGCCTCCTGGGCTGGGCCCTTAAAAGTAGTGCATTTTGTTGTATGTATGTTATACCTCAATAAAAACAATAAAAAAATACGCCACCACACTCTGGGTTCACTGGTCCAGCTGTGGAGGCTGCACTCTCTGCGTCTCTTTCGTGTTCTCTGCCCACCCCGTCCTCCTCCCTGGTTCTGGTCCCCACCCTGGGGACACTTTGGAGAGTAGCAGTCAGTCCCCTCTAGCTCAGAGAAGGCCTCGAGGCAGGAGAAACCCCAAGCATTGAGACTAAGCCAACCCAGGCATAAGTAGAATGGAGAAACTGGGAGACAGGTGCAGTAGACGTGGGCATCAGCATGTGGGGGACCATGAGAAAAAGCCAGGGAAGACCATGCTTGGCTGGGAAAGAAGGGGGTAGTGGAGGAGCTTGAGGAGGATGGCCACCCGTGTACGGTGGCTGGGCCCTGAGCCGCATGCTGTGAAGAGAAGACAGCCCCGGGAGCTGCTGGTCTTGGGAAGAAGACAGGGCAGCAACCAGAATTCTAGTACAGGGTTCAGAGTGCAGTGCGGAGGGCAGCTTAGGAGAGGGGTCTCATCCAGGCCGGAGACTGCAGGGGCCTTCCTGGAGAAAGCAGGCGAGGACCTTAAGCAGTAGGCAGTTTGCCCCCAGCCCCAGCCCCTCCTGGGCACATTTGGCATTACCTAGAGACATTTTTTGGTTGTGCTGACTTGGGGCGTTGGGGAGTGGGAGATCATCCTGGCATCTGCCTGGGACGCTCCTAAACGTCGGCAGTGCACAGGACAGCTCCCACAACTAAGGATTTCTGGCCCAAAATGCCAGTACTAAGGTTGAAAAACTGCTTCAGAGCATTAAACCAGGGGAAGAAAAGAATCTGATGCTTAAGTATGTCTTGGTTGTACAGAATTATTGTTAGGGTGATCAATAAAAGCCCTTCAGACATCAGGACCATGCTCCACGTGAGGATAATATTCAATAGGAGACTTGGAGTAAAAATACAGTTTCAAGTAGAGAAAAGGAAAAATGTCCTTTGGGCTGAGTCTTAGTTGTGGAACCAGCCGAGGGAAAAGGCACTTGCTCACCAGGCACGAGGCAAATGCGAGCAGAGGCCCCAAGGAAGAGCTCCGTGCAGAGGAGCAGCTGCCCGACTGGAGCCTCAAGTGCAGTCCAGGAGGGGAAGGGGCTGCGGGGCCAGAGGAGATGGACGGGGCGAGGGCAGCCGGTGCGCTGGGCGCTGTGCCGAGGTGCGGGCGCTGTCCTCGGTGGTTCTGAGGGTGGGCTCGCCTTCGTAAGGGAAGCGGCGTTCCCTGCAGCCACCACACTAAGGCCTGAACGGCCTGCAGGGGAAGCTCAGGCTTTGGATCAGATGTAGTATACTGTGACCCCGGGCAAGTTCCTTAACAGCTGTTTCCTCCACCATAAAACTGGGGTAGGGGCCCCTATATTCCTGCATTATTGAAGGGGCTCAATACGACATTACATTCAAGCGTGTAAGAGGAAGCGCCCTGCACGGTGGCTGCCATGAAGCAGGCGCTCTGCACGGGAACAAGCCCTCACCCGAGGTCTCTGCCATTTTTGCAGCCTCGTTGGTGAGGCTGAGCAGTGTGAACTTTCCCACAGTTACCCTTGGAGATGAGCCTTGGTGTGCCAGCCTGCCGGGCAGAGCTGCCAAAGGAAGAACACCTATCTGATGAGCCCTTAATCTGAGGGGAGGGAGGATGACAGGCATTGCGGGTCCCTACCCATAAGGCCAGGGAAGGGCGCTTGGTGGGGGCTGAACACTGGGTGCTCGACTGCCGAGTTCAAGTCGGCCGGGGGCAGGACCAGTGGCACCCTGTGTGGGGCTCGGCCAGATAAAAGGCCACTGGGGGGAGGAAGCCTGCGCAGCGGAGCCTGGCCGAAGGCTGCGCGTCCGCACAGAGCGAGAGTGCCTGAGCCACTGCCGTGGGCGTCTTGGGAGCATGATGTGCGTGGCTTGTTTGGAGCTCCTGTGTGGCCCAGTCATAAATGTAAGGAAGTGAATTGGCACCAGCGCCCAGCTGTCTGCACACAACTCCAGGGCTCCTGATGCTGTCACCAGGCCTTGGACAATTTATCTTCTGCATTGATGGGCATGACCGGTCCTGCACCCATTTTATCAGCAAAGAGAAGGGGCTATAAATAGGTATGGCCTGGATGTGGAATTTCCTAGGAAGAGAAAAGGCCAAAGGGAGAGCCCTTTAAGAGCCTGGGAAGTGGGAAGGGGTGGGGTGGAAAATTCCTGGCTGCCTGTTCTTCCAGATGGATGAAGTCTAAGGAAAGCCTAGAGACCAATCCATCTGGCCTCCTGGTATTTCACTTTGTCCATTCTTACTCCAAAGAGGAGGCTTGGTTTTGTGACATAAAATTTAGTGATTATTTAGTGACATAAAATTTAAGTGGAGCTAAGAGAAGGGAAATCTAGAAATTATTGGCTTAAATCTTTTGTTCAGAAACACATTTTTAAGTGATTACTGTCTGTGGAAGTGTCCTAAGCTTAGGGAAATAGGATGAGCAAAGACTGTGCCCTCAAGGGGCTTGTCTGTTCGTAGGTTACTGCGGTATGGCCAGGGCCACCAGAGCTGAGCCCCAGCCACCACGGGGACATGCAGGTGGGCACCCGACCCAGTGAGGGAAGGCTTCCTGGGGAGCAGGTCCTCTGGGATGGGTCTTAGAAGATGGGTGGGTGTCGCCAGGCCAGGAGCGGGGAGGGCCACTGAGGCCGCGGGAGAGCCCTGTGTGGCGTGGTTTGCTCACGGAACTGTAAGCAGCTGAGTGCGGCTGAGCACAGGGGTGGCGCGGCATGCAGGGCTAGTCCCTGAGAGGCCACTTTGCTCTGAGGACTGGAGCCTGGAACTCAGATGGCCCTCGGTCCTAATCTCAGCCCTGCCATTTGTGGGCTGTGCGACTTTGGACTAGAAACAAGGCCTCTGTGCGTGTCTTGCCTCCGTGATTAAACGGGGTTGTTTAATTCCTGGGGAAATTGAAGGCAGCAGTTGCAGGCCCTTCCCAGGCAGTGTCCCCTACAGGCACAGTGTAGGGTGGGAGGGAGTAGGGCTGGGCCCAGGAGGAAAGGCCAGTCTGTCTGCCTGCCTGATGGCCCGCGGCAGGAGACGCAGAGCTGTGCAGACATGAGTTTCCTAAGCAGATGAAAAGCATTCTCAAGGTCACCTGCGCCCTAGATTCAGCCCTGCAGGACAGCTCTGAAAGCAGCGATGGAAAGTGACCCACCTAAAACAACCCACTGACCACTTACCGCTGAGTACGTGAGCTCTGGAGCAGGAATTTTAAGGACCAAAAAAAAAAACAGTGGCAAGAAAAGGAAATGGTTGAGTAGACGGAGGAGGTGCCCCCACCAAAGGGTGGGGGGCTGAGGGGAGCAGGCTCGTCTGCTCCCGCGCCTCATTACATGGATGAAAGTTCTGATTAGTCCTTCTGCCCTCCTACTGTACTGTGGACTGCAAAGGGCTGGCTGGGGCCTGGTCCTGCATCGGCTCCTCCCTGGAGGCCAAGGCTAGGGCCTGTGCCCGGGGAGGGACTCTGGGCGAGGGAGCCAGCAGGTGGGGGTACGTGGCATTGCCGGGGGAGCTGTTCGGAGAGCCTCCTTCAGCGGAGCTGGTTTCCAGCTCTGGTGTGTGGGGTGCTCATCTGATGGGCCGTGGTGGGGCGTTTTGTCCTTATTTGTTAATTGGTGGTAAGCACCCCGCGGGCACGGGGACCCGAGTTTGTGTCCTTGTATGCCACTAGGAGCTGGTGAGCGTGGCCAGTAGGCCTCCCGGTCAAGGCCGCTCCCGGGTGAGGTGAGTGTGTGAGCTCGTCTGCGTGTGCCCCCAGCCGCTCAGAAGGCCCGTTTGCTGTTCCAGGTGCCGGCCCTGTTCGATGAGGTGGCTATATACTTCTCCGACGAGGAGTGGGACATTTTGACCGAGCAACAAAAGGCCCTCTACCGGGAAGTCATGAGAATGAATTATGAAACAGTCCTGTCCCTGGGTAAAACTTTGTTTTCCTTCTTCTCCCAGAGGCTCTGAGCCCAGAGGCCTGTTTCCACTTCTCTCTCTGGTGTATCCAGCATCCCTGTCTCCTGAACTGGGACACTGCCCCCTCAGTGACTGCACCCGTTTGATTTCCTCTTTTGGACTTAGGCATTATGTAAATATTGTGCCCTTCTACCGTGCCAACTCCCAGAAGCATCCGCAGTCAACCCAGCCATTCACATAAAGAAAAATAAGATGTAGCCTGAGAAACGTCCCCAAAGGTCTGGGCCTGTGCTTCCTGTGTCCCTCGAAGGGAGGCCTCACTGCTACTGGCTCAGCCCCAGAAGCCTGGGGACCCACCCCACAGAATCCTTGCTCCCCAATACCCATGTTATTAGGGTGGAACTGGGGGTTCCCTAGTTTACACGCATAGGCACCAGGATATTGAGTAGAACGTGTGCACCCACCCACTCCCCTGCGAAACGCGGCTCTTGTTTTACTGTTGCCAGCACCCGCCCTCGTTAGCAGAGATCCATAAATTCCCTTGAACAGACCTCTTTCCCATCATTCCTTAGGTACCCCCAAGCCCTTTTTCTGCTGTCTTCCATAAAGTTCCATATTGAGAAGACTCGGGGGTAGGGGCCGAGGGCGGTGCTCCTTAAGTGTCACAAAGTACTTATTTGGGCAGTGCGCCAAGACTGCAACACAGCTGTGACCTGCTTTATTTCCCATCCGCAGAATTCCCGTTCCCTAAGCCAGACGTGATCTCGCGGTTGGAAGGGGAGGAGGACTGTCCGAATTCTGACGAGTGGCAGCTCCAAGGAGGACCCTTTCCAGGTACTGCCACCAAACCAATCCAGCCTCTGTCCAGTGGGGGCATTATGAAACTGGATCTCAAGTTGCCGTGTACATTCTCTGGGGTACTTAGAAGTAAGGCAGGGTTATGAGCTTTGCGGTTCCAAAATCTCTCCAGTGCTCTGGGACCTTAGGCAACTTCACTGACCTCTCTGAACTTCCACTTCTTCATCTGTCAGCTGTGGGTGGTAAGTCCCAGTGAGCAACCCTGTATGTGGATGAAGCAAACTGAAGCTTGTGTGGCACTTGTTCCAGCGCCCATCTAGGGTCAACAAGGCCACCTCAGTGGTGCACTGCACACCCCCCAAAACTAGGGAGAGTAGTGCGATGAGGCACACATGCAGAGTCGCTGAAACCGGCCTTCTGTCCATCTCATCTTGGACAGAGAAGGCAGTTGTAGCCACTGCACACATCTGAGCCAATGCGTCCAAGGACACGGTCCTTCATCATGAAGCACAGGGAGGAGGGCAGCAGTTGGATAAATACAACTTCCAGACTTCCAGAGTGGTTTTGTTTCCCTTCTTTCTAGAAGGAAGGGTTTAAATGCCATGTTTCACTGAATCTGAGACATGTTTTTTTCCCTCCCCGACTTTAACATCTCTGAAATTGAGAATGCCTCTTAAAACTGATGGCATGTCACAGTGTAGTGGCATTTTTTTTTTTTCTTAATGGCACATCCTGGTACATCTTGCAATTAACGGCAGCTTAGTTTTGCCGATATGATCATTTCCCTGGAGCCATATCAATTTCTGTGACCACTTCCAAATGTAAACCTCCAGTGAAACCCACTTCTGACGTTGGTGTACAGGAACCATGTTTCTACCTTGCAAGCTGACTCTGTTAAGTGTGTTTTGCTGTAGATTTTCTCAGTTTAAGGGGTATGATTCAGCCCCTGATGTATCCAAACCCAGTCTGTAACACTATGTGGAAGCATGGATTATTTTTGGCTTCTCATCCACACAAAAGGTACCTTGACCCAGACGTGGCCCACAGAATCATGTGATCCAGGCTTGGTACCTGTTTTCAGTTGGCAGTTCTGCCACTTTCTAGGTCAGCTGCCTGGATGCATCACTTAACTTCTGTAGCCTTATCTGCAGAGAAGGAATAATGGCACACAGTTCCTGTGAGACCCACATGTGCCGTTCCACAGGAATTGGCACATGGCTAAGGACTTAGGAAATGTCATCTGTGATTTAAGTTGTGTGAACCCCAGATTAAGGGATTTGTGGCATTTCAACCTACAAAATCAGGGCCTAAGCCGGAAATGATCTGACCTACTGGCGTTCTCTCTGCCCACCTGTCTGTCTTGCAGAAAACGAAGACTCCTCGGACGTGAAGCCTCCAGACTGGGCAGGCCCACCGAACGCCACCTCCCACTTGCTGCAGCCTCGGCCCCTGGACGGCCTCGGCCTCCGTCTGCCCCAGGACATGGCTGAGCTGCCCGAGTGGGGTGAGGGCTACCCCTTCTACATGGCCATGGGCTTCCCGGGGTACGACCTCTCGGCTGATGACCTCGCCGGCAAGTTTCAGTTCAGTCGCGGCATACGGCGCAGCTACGACGCGGGGTTCAAGCTCATGGTGGTGGAGTTCGCCGAAAGCACCAACAACTGCCAGGCGGCCAAGCAGTTCGGGGTACTGGAGAAGAACGTCCGGGACTGGCGCAAGGTGAAGCCGCAGCTGCAGAACGCGCACGCCATGCGGCGGGCCTTCCGCGGCCCCAAGAACGGGCGCTTCGCACTGGTGGACCAGCGCGTGGCCGAGTACGTCCGCTCCATGCAGGCCAAGGGCGACCCGATCACCAGGGAGGCCATGCAGCTGAAAGCGCTGGAGATCGCGCAGGAAATGAAAATTCCGGAGAAGGGCTTCAAGGCCAGCCTGGGCTGGTGCCGCAGGATGATGCGCAGGTACGACCTGTCCCTGAGGCACAAGGTGCCGGTGCCCCAGCAGCTGCCCGAGGACCTGACCGAGAAACTCGTCACCTACCAGCGCAGCGTGCTAGCCCTGCGCAGGGCACACGACTACCAGGTGGCCCAGATGGGCAACGCCGATGAGACACCTATTTGCCTGGAGGTCCCATCACGGGTGACTGTGGACAACCAGGGAGAAAAGCCCGTCCTGGTCAAGACGCCGGGCAGGGAGAAGCTGAAGATCACAGCGATGCTCGGCGTCCTGGCCGACGGCAGGAAACTGCCGCCCTACATCATCCTGCGGGGCACGTACATCCCCCCCGGCAAGTTCCCGAGCGGGATGGAGATCCGCTGCCACCGGTACGGGTGGATGACGGAGGACCTGATGCAGGACTGGCTGGAGGTGGTGTGGAGACGCAGGACCAGCGCGGCGCCCAAGCAGCGAGGCATGCTGATCCTCAACGGCTTCCGCGGCCACGCCACCGACTCGGTGAAGAGCTCCATGGAGAGCATGGACACCGACATGGTCATCATTCCCGGGGGCCTGACCTCGCAGCTGCAGGTGCTGGACGTGGTGGTCTACAAACCGCTCAACGACAGTGTCCGCGCCCAGTACTCCAACTGGCTGCTGGCCGGGAACCTCGCGCTCAGCCCCACCGGCAACGCCAAGAAGCCGCCCCTCGGCCTCTTCCTGGAGTGGGTCATGGTGGCCTGGAACAGCATCTCCAGTGAGTCCATCGTCCAGGGGTTCAAGAAGTGCCACATCTCCAGCAACCTGGAAGACGAAGATGACGTCCTGTGGGAGATCGAGAGCGAACTGCAGGGAGGAGGGGAGCCGCCCAGAGAGTGCGAGGCGGAGGGTGTGACCGAGAGCAACTGAAGGTAACCAGGCCGGGCGTGCCTGTGCTCACCAACCTTTCTTGCCGTTATTTTCCTGTTTCTGAGAACCCTTGGAGCCCACGGCGCGATACTGCAGGTGACGGGCTGTCGGCATTTTTGCCGTTTAGTGAGACTTTTTTGCTTGGCTCCCTTGGGGATACTTTGCTGTGAGGCTGGGACCCAGGAGCACTAGTTTAACACCCAGACTGAGAGGCTGAGCTGCCAGAGCGTGTATTCTGAGAGCTGCAATGCTGAGGGAAGTGATTCAGGCCTGAGGGAACATGGTCTGCCATTGCTCAGTCAACAAAAAGTTTTGTTTGAAAAGTCAGCTTTTTTCTTTCCTTTCGAAATCGTGCACAACATTTAGGGCCAGTGCGTGTACCTGATCTGCGAGTAGCCCATAGGGTTGTGATGTGGGGAGAGCACCAGGTGCCTTCAGATGGTGTCCTCCGGGCCTCTGGTCTGCAGCCCAGCAGGGCTCAGTAATAGCTTGTTTGCTTTTCCCTAGTTTTTTAGTGTTTTAAAACCTCATCTTATTCTCATAATGACCTGTACATGGATGGAGTGAGAAATTACCGTAATTTCTTATAGTTCACAGATGTCTGAAGGGAGATATTTTTAAATCTAATCTTTGCGCACACACAAAGGAAAATGAAACAGGGTGCATATCCAGGACTGCAGTAAAGTCTGAGGATTGAGGCGGATAGGTCTGAATTTTCATAACTGAGTACAGACAGAGAACAGCTTTAAAGGTGGGGGGGGAGTGGAGACTAACAGGCGACTCTAGTGGACCGAGCCTGCAGCCCCCATGCCCCACACACCTCGAGAGGGGAGAGGGGCTGCAGGGACGACACCCAGAAGGAATCCACTTACCCTCTACTCTCGTCTCCCTAATTGTCAACTAACCTGTTCCTCCAGACACCTGGGATAATGTGGCGAGGCCATTCCTTTTACAGAGGACCTAGGACCATCTTGATACTTTTTTCTATCTTTTAAAGTGTGATTAGGCATTTCCATCCTACTTGGTTTTCTCTAAATGCAAACAAATATTCTTTCACCCCACTTGATGCTGTATAAGTTGAAGAGTGACGTAACATCCCCCCCCGTTACTCCCAATCAAATGGTGACTCGTCTTGCTGAACCCCACGGAATTCTGGATCCTTAGGACTACCGTGCAGCTGAGGAGGAGTTCTTACTATTACATTCAAACCACAACTGTTTTTTTCTCATGTCCACTCTTCTCCCCATGGACTCAGCCTCCCTTTCCTGCCAAACATTACACTGCCTCCACTGGACGTCAAACTTTGAATTATAGTGAGATTTAATCCCTTTCTCATTTTACCTTTCACTCTTTCCCTTCCCTTGGTAGATAAAGTTTTTGTACATTTTTAATTTTCTAAGCTGTTTGCTACCCAAAGGACCAGATCAAAAGCTGCCAGGGGGAAAGGGGGAAGAATGATGCTCTGCTGCAGGTGTGAACATGGTCACTTAGGAGTGACACTAGCCCTGAGTTTTTGCTCACCTGGACTGCCACATTCTCTGCTGGACAGCTGCCCTGAGGAGCTGAGGAGGCGAGAGAGGGAGATAGGGGTTCTCAGCGAACAAGATTTAGCAGGAGACACGCAGGCATAAAACTGCCTTCTCATCTGTTTGGAAATCTTACTAATGGAAGAATTACGTTTGTTAAAAGGTACCCAATAGCTAAAATCCAAAGGTTTATTCACACTTAGGTTCTCTCTGTTTTCCAGCAAATGGAACTGTGTTTGAAACAGCTGGGGAGGAAAATCCTCAAGAAGACTCCTCGATGCATGGATGCACCGGGAACGGCTGCAAAAGGCCCTGGGGCCCATGACAGCTGGGTCCGGACAGCAGCCTGTGCCTCCTATCCTGGGACACAGCCAGCCCGCCCCACCCCCAGGAAATGTCAGGAAAGTCTAAGACCCTTAATTTCATCGGAGACATGGTTAGGAAAGAAACTGCTTCTGCCTCATTTCTTGTTCTAGAGATTGCTCCGCGTGTCCATCAGAAGGAACCTGTAAATACAAACGAACCATGGCGTTGCCTGGGGAAGAGGCCATTTGTCCGACACTAACAAGACACTCACGATACGGGCCCGACTCCCCTGTGTCCTTTCTGGGGAGAAAACCTCAAGAAATTGTTTTCTTCTGCCTTTAGAAATGCTTCCAAGAGAAGAGCCTGTCCCCACACAGGTCAGCACTGCAGAGCAGGCTTTGTAGAAATGTGTCATTTATATACACCTGCTACTTACGCGTTTCTTTTGGGAAAAATGAAATACTAATGATAACAAAACTCAGACATCCTGGCCTGGTTGCCAGCAGGTGGCTTTTCTATATAGACAACCTAGGTTAGGGTGGAAGATAACAGGTTAAAATACACTATGCTCTTATTTATCTTCCCAAACCGGTTGGCAGCTAGACTTTTTAAGGGTCTCATTTAATGGCCCTGTTTTTCATTACTGTTATATTTAACGATAAGGTGGCACTTTAGTACACAAGCTCTTGTTTCTCAGGCTGCCTGCAGAAGTCACCATAAATTGTCTGCTGTGTACGTGGTACAAGGCTCACTAACTCATCTGCTACATGTTCATTTCTTTAATATTTTTATCACAAGGGTGGTAAGAGGACCTGGGCCTTTAGCCACAACCGTTTCAAGACTTCTGATCCCCTTCTATCCTGCAGGGAGAGATGGGAGGTCTTTGAATTTTTACACTATTGTAATTTGCATTCCCACAGAAGTCAAGTGTTATGGAAACATTCCTTCAAAGCTGTCTGTACTACAGAAAATATGCCAGAACCTCAGAGACAAAGCCATTGCTAGAAACGTCATTCCATCGTCCAATCTGGAGAACAAGCGGCCATGACCACCTTTCCTTCCGGTGGGCTCAGCTCGTTTGTATATTATACTGTTCTTGGCATCTTGAAACACCTATTTCTACTCAGGTACTCATTTTCCTATTAGTGATCCACCTTTCTCATTTTTTTAAAGCCAGGTTTCTCCCAGAGGAGGTTTCACTTCTGGTATCCAAGTATTTGACTTGTTTTTCCATGTGCTTTATCTGCACTGTGTTCTTTGTCATCTCAAATGGCATCTAAATCCAGCTACTTTCCATTCCAGACGTTCCCATTCCCTCCAATTCCACTTAATTTATCCTCCACTGCCCTGATTCCTGGCCCTTTCCTCCCGGTGTCCCATTTTACTTGCTTTGGGAGCTTAAAAGGATCTTAGGACTAATTTTGGGTTCCTCCATTGGAGCCACAGTTACCTTGCAGAGAGTAGTAGAAAATGGGTTCAACTTCTGTTTCGTTCCACCACCACCTCGAGTCTCATCATCAGCTGACAGATGATGCCTTACAGGCTGCATAGCACTAGAACTTTCCTAGAGTAATGGCTCAGCTGTGAGGATTTTTCTGGGCTCCTTCTTCCACTGACTGAATTACGATCTATGCTAACAGAGCCCCAGTGCAGTTTTGCAGACTGGCTGTTACCCTGGAGTGACTATAGCACACACTGAGACACACCTGTGCTCCCCAGTAGATAGAAACTGACCTCAACAATAAACTTTGATAATAAAGACAACAGGCTATGGTGGTTTTATTTATTTACCTGCTAGTATTGTGAAAAGTCACATTTCAAACTATCGTGTACATTTTATTCTCCATGCAGTTTGGTGCCAATATAGTATCCCTTTGAATAAAAAAAGACAGCGTCTTACTCATGAGCCAGCAGTGGGAGTGACGGTGCACTTGAAGTCAAAGGGAACACAAATGACACGTGTGGCTTTAAACTGGCTGTGAAGTAGGGGGAGAAGAGGCCTGGCACAAATAGCTTTTTCCCTCAGTCCATCATGTTTAAGATGTGCTCAGAAATGGTACATTACCAAGATCACATGAAGTAAATCCATAAAAAGGTACCTTTTTACATGAGTGAAAACATCTTCCTTACCCTTACCTTACATCCTGAAGGCATTCTGGGGTGAGTCAAAGACGTGATGGGACAGGCATGTCTCTCACCTACGCAGGGTCATCGTGCAGAAGATACACGTACAGGGCAGCCTGCCCAGTGCAGGCAATGGGGCGCCGCGAGGAGCTGTGCAGTGGCCCACGGCACTGGGGCCCAGCGGGAGGTAAGGCGGGCCTTTGCAAACCCGGTTTTGCCCGTGATGCACCTGTAGCTAAATAGGCCGTTACTGAAACTCCTGCGGGAAAAATAAGCTTTATTCTAGGTGTGAAGTTACCCAGTTTCTAAGAGCTCTTTTCCTCCTGACATAATTATCTTTGCTAAATGCTGCTTGATAGGAAGCACTCATGATTTCACTCGGGGTCCCACGTTGGCAGTGGCGCTCAAGTTGGAGGCAGCCTCGGGAGGAATAGATGTGCTCAAATCTCTTTCAGGGGCTCTCTTGGAAAACCCTAAGTACCACTCACTACCTGCCTGCCCTGCCCTCACCCCCATCACTTCACTTACAAAATGCCTGTTGAGGAAAACTGGCAGAGAAAGCAGGTCGGAATAGTGTAAGCCCGGAACATGAAACAAAGGGGGCCCCCAGGTCCCTGGGGCCCCGCCAGGGCAGGTGACTGCAAGGACTGGGGGCTCCTAGAGCAGAGTGAGGAACCGCTTGCACTGCTGCGGGACCTGCCACAGCAGCAGGCAGCAGGACGGGGCTGAGGCTCCTGGCCCCCTCAGTCTGTGGGGCACACGAGATCTAACGCGTGTTACTTCACATTAAGGCCCAGGTGTAGGGAGGATCTAAACGCCACTACACTCAGGTGCACACCGGTTCACATTCTTCTACACCCTAAAAATTCTTGAGTGTTATCTTACTGTGTAATGGGCTTTTCAGCCTTGTGCCAGTCATTGTAACTATGCTGTTTTTTTTTTAAATTTTAATCTACACATCACAAAAGAAATGGCATGCCTAAATTGGAACCTGCTTTTTAATCTTTCTCATCTAGTACATTCTTTTGAAGTCTTTTAAGATCTCATGAAGCAGGGCTTTTCATGTATCTACTGAAGGAAGTATTCCTTATATGTTTACTTTAATAAACAAAAGGTTTCTCCCAAAAGGTTTATTTGTCACATTTAAAGTACAAAATCAAATACACAGATACTTCAGATATTGAACCATATACACATACCTATACATATATTACTTAGACCAACACAAACCTACCTATACATATTAATATATCCACCAACACTCTCTCTTGAGTGAAGAGGAACATATCTCTAAAAAAACAAATATTAGCATCACTGCCAAATTAAATTATTTTCACTTTATCATTTAAAGGATAGAAACAGGTATTTCATAGGAATAGGGGTATTACCAAGTATAAATACATTATATGGACTTAATTATGTTTATATGGATTTAAGACATATTCAATAGGAAAAGTTAATAGATGAAACTGCCAATCAGTCTTTGGGCCTATTAACTATAAAAGAAAATTATGAGAAGACATTTTATAAGGTTAATTAATGATACTCCAAGAGTTCTATTTGTTTTACGTTTTTAATGCAAAAAAGGAACTTTGTCTAACAGCACAGCTTTTCTAAGTCATATTTTCTATGGAGTTTGTAATGAACCTAAATTTAGGGAGCTACCTATATCCTTTTAAAAATTAAACTGGTCACTAAAAGAGGTATCTGAATTTTAACACTGTGTAGGTTATTTCAACCAAAACGTAAGAACACAGTTCTTGAAGAGAAAGGCAGAAATTTCAGACTTGCCAGTTACAGAATATACACTGCGACTGAGCACCGATGTCCTGCTGACCCCAGGGCTGTTCTAACAGCTTCTTTGTTCTGGGAGGTCACCTGCCTTCCACGCAGACCCGAGGACCCTAAGCCTCACATGCCTAACAGTCTCCACGGCAGACATGGGGCTTTCCCGGTGCTTTTCCCGCCCCTGGAACACAGATGCACACATACAGCATTTGGGTCACTGTCAGCGTCAGGTTTATGCTAATGGCTTCATAGCAGCAACACAAAACATTCTCAATGTCACATTTCCATAGGAAAGGCTATATTTACACTGGACACTTCAGTTGTGAAATGTGGACCCAAAAAACACTCAATTCTCAACAATCGATGAATTTGCTGAGGGACCCACGCCCTCCCACCTCAGTTCAGCAGAGCAGAAGCCCCTCCTTGGCCGCCAGGCGCTGGCGGTGGGCTTTGTCCTGCTGCAGCTCCTCGTGACCCGGATGCCAGAGCTTCATGAGGACCCTGTCCACGTTGAGAGCGTACACAGTGTGTGCAGGAATGACTTCCCTGTGCACCTGCGGCCAAAAAGTCAGCACGTCTCCAATTATACTTCACGACACTTATTTTTTCCAACACATAAAAGATTTATATCAACAAAACACTCAAATAAAAGGGACACAATCCTATAAACGTAAGCCAGAACCTAATCAATCCCAAAGCAGCCATGAGGACGAGGACATAATAAGGTCTGAATTAAGAATAAAGGAACAAGCGTTATTTTTTTTCCTTTTCTTTCTTTCACTGGGGAAGGATGGGGGTAGGTAAATTAGGAAGGACTCCTAGATCCAGGACTTCAAAAAGGGGGGTAGTATTAATGGCTTTAATAACAATAAAAGCCGGAAAGGCAAGATGCAGAAAAGCTATTGAGTATGTTTGTAGACTTGAAGAAACTTTGAACCGACGCATAAATTCAGGTAGACTTTCAGGAGCCTATAGTTAGTTACCTGCAGAGCTTCGAAGAGGTCGTACAAGCTCACCGGGGGCAAAGGTGCAGGCAGTGTGTCCCCGGAGCAGGCCAGCAGGAGCGCAGCTTGCTGCTCAGTGTCCTCGGGGGGCGGGGGACCAGCGCAAGGAGCAGAATAGGCTGGAGGGCTGAAAATGAAGTATTTCAAGAACATTCCCAGGAACAAGAAAGAGACAACAGAACAACCAGAACAGGAATGGGCTGCTAGAAAACCTCTTATTAAAAATATCTTAAAATGAACTAGAAACCCAATTGTTTTTTAGCTCATGTATATATAGAGTCTGTAGTTTCACTTTTTAAAGGCCATCTGTCAGGCTGGAAACAAAATTTAGAGCCAACTGCATTTACCCTCCTTCTTTCACAATGTTAAAATATTTACTAAGCACGGGATATTGAGCCAAAATTGTTTCCTGCCCTTAAGGAGCTTGTTGTCGAAAAAAGTAACAGACTTCAATTAAAGGGAAATGAAATTGAAAACAACTGACTTGGAGAGGAAATGGTATCGGAGACAAGAGAATCTAAAGTAACAGGCAAGGAAGGAAGACAGCGCAGAGGAAGTGACAGGCAAAAGGGACAGTGGGGAAAATTGATCCAAATCTTACCAATTTCCCAATATACGACCCAGAAGTACTATCAACTGGGAAGTCAGGCGTAAGTTTTGTATCGTGACACAGTGCGAGGTGACATAGACCTACTGGAGGGCACACGGTGTGAACAGTGAGGGGTGACGCAAAGAGCTCCACCGTGGGGCAGCGTGTGGGTCCCGGCACCAGACAAAGGCAGGCCTGTTCCAGAAACAAGCAGCCGATGGGGAGGCGGGAGCCTTCAGCCAGGGAGGGGGCGGCTCGGGCCAGCCCAGGTCACAGGGCTGCTCCCGGCACTACAAGGGCCCCCTTTTTTTCGGTTTGTTTTGCTCCAGAGAAGAATGACTTAAAAATGAGCACAAATAATCCCCAACAGATATGCCTGAATGAGACTGAGTAAGTCATCTTCACACAGGGCAACCTAAACAGTGAGCCCAGCTGAGCCGGGGCTTTTCAGATGGGCCTCGTGAGCCAGGCCGGGGCCTCCGGGCCATGGCAGGTGCCCACAGCCCCGTGGGTGAGGCGCCAGCGCGCTCAGCCCCGCCACCGTGCACCCGCACCCCTCCTCCCGCCTCTGCTCCCAGCACCTCCTCACCCCGCACGCCGACCGCCTTCCCATCACGCTGCCTTCTCTCACCTGCATCTGTCATCTTTTCACCTCTTTTCTCCCTAACTGGCCAGATAACCAGATACAGAGTTCAGCAGCCACAGGAATTCAGCCACTGCTGTCACCCCGAGGGAAATGACATTATTGTGTGTTCTTTCCCAAAGGCTTAAAATTTGGATGAAATTTTTTGGAGGGAAGGAAGAAAGGGAGACAGAGGGGTACAAACAGACAACACATGGATGAAGGGGATCGGGTCACCTCAGAAAGGCAGGACCGGGGACATGAGCGGAGTCCTGGGAGCCCTCCGTGAACTACAGACACAAGGTGGGAGAATGGAGCCGAGAAGCCAGGTCTGCACCTGGAGCAGGCCGACGGCGCTAGCACGGCCCCTCCCCGAGCCACAGCGCCACGAGCCAGCGGGTGGCCTGAGGTCCTCTCCCACCCTCTTCTCACAGCAGGAAACCCAGCCCTGACCCAACTGCCCGCAGCCAGCAGCCGCTGGCCCACTTCCCCCACCAGGTGCTGCCCCCCAGGAGCCAGGAGGAAACGCTGCAATCTCCGAAACTGGGGGCACTCACAGTAAACCACACGCAGCAGCCCAACTCTGTGACCTCACGTCTGATGTACGGAGAGCCAAGTAATTCAGTTACTGGGTAAG